ATCGTGCACAGAAATATGGGTAAAGATAAGACCTGTTGTCGTATTTAATGTTTAAAAAAAAGAAAAAACTTCATGGAACAAATGTATTCTGGGCGCTATCATCTTCTCCAGCCGTACGATTACATTTAAATATAGTCACTGTACATAATAAACAAGTGTCAATGTTTGTTGATCAGTAAATTTTAGTAGTTGGTGGCCATGGAAATAATAAAGGAATGGAAATTACGTAAGAGATATTAACTGGAAAGCTTATGAAGTAAGAAGTGAATAAAGACAAAGCCGCTGCCGCATACACAGCTCCGGTTTAGGCTGTTGCTTAACTGTAGCTTCAGTAATAGAAAGTAAACTTTTATTTACATCCTTCGGATGATTACTTTGGACTTTGTAGACTAGTCCAAACGAATTTTATGTAAAGTATGTCCGACGTCAACCATATGTTGTAAAATGGAGATGTTAATAGACATACGTTGACCTTTATGAAGCTTTGCTAGAAGCTGTTGGCGTCGATTTTTGACAATCTGCCTCTGCGTACGATATCTGGCTGCACGGGAGCAGGTGAAATGAAATGTGCACATTTATGTGCCTAACAGTGACAGTTTGTACTTCCCACAAGCGTTCCCCGCTGTAGGACTAGCATAAATGATTTTCAGAATGGCTGCATAGAATATTCTTTTGACAGCCTTCATTAGTTTGCTTTTTAGTACCCCAACTACAGCATCCCCAATAAGTTCCAAGCTCAAAATTTGCTTTATCTTCTCGACATTGATAGAAGGTTGTTAGTCAGCATTCCGATGTGAGTTTTTACGTATGAGTTTCTCTGGGTAACCTTTTGCAATGAACATCCATCTTAGTAGTTGAATTTTGTCTTCTAAATTGTCGATAGGAAAAATCTTTCGAATCTGAGACAAAAGAGGATGGATTAAACTTCTTTTTTGGCTGGTGAGAACCCAGATGTGAAAGTTCGCCATTTGTTGACTCCACGTAGATTTTTGATGCATGGATGTATTCAGCGTCCTGTCGCCTCTTCTTTTTGACAATACGTCTGGGAATGGTATCTTAAATTATTATTTTAACCACTTTGTAAAGTTGACGGAGGAGTGATATTCACTGAAAAACTGAAATACTCTCTCCGTTTCACAAATGCTGTCACAAAAAATGAATGTATCATCAACATGTCTTCTGTATAATTCAAAAAACTAGAAAACCTAAGTGATTATGGTTTGGCCCAGTCTGGCCATAAATATATATGCTAACAGGGGACTCAGTGGCAACTCATTGCTACCAAGTCTGTCTGGTGTTAGAAGGTATGATTCTAGATGAATTTTACATCAAATGTCTGTCATGAGTTCTTTCAGAATTTTTGTCGCTGTAGTGATGTTAATTGCATTGGAGTCAATGTGGTCACGATTAGCGGAATGTTTATGAATGATGAAATAACATTGAATGATAAGGAAATAATTCAAAATATCTAAATCTGATCCTCAAAATTTGGTTTGCACTCAGAACTAGATAATATAAAATTGGTTTCTCTACTGTTGCCAGTCAGTAAACGTAAACGTAAAACGTCAGCTAGTAGATTTTGAAACAAAAATCACTTCGATCATATGATGTGCCTCCTGTTAATCTGTTTTCTTGGAGTAATGTAGATGAAATCAAATATTCATCAGAACATTCAATGGGAATGAGAATATGCATGATATAGCGATACTGAGGATAATATGCAGTCTATTTTTGCTGAGTAGTTAAGTGGATGGTTTGAACAGTAGAAAAGCACCACTTATGTGCTTGTATAAGTTGTATCTTCCCTACCCTTGTAAGTGACAGCTGTAAAACAGTAGAAATTTATATGGAAAATTTAATACGAATAAACACCTATCTGAATAATTGTAACATACAGCTGTACGAAAGGACTACTTTAATCAAGGCTTTACCAATAATTGCAGATTACTTTCGTAGCCTAGTAGAATAATGAGAATACCCACGAGTTTCATATCTCAACATAGTACACTTTAAAAACAGGTACATATCTCAGTTATGAGTGACAAATGGTGTGAGTCAGTCTGTAAGCAGCCTTGGACCTGTGCTTCCTGCTTATTGGCATTCATCAACATTCATCAACAAGGCGAATCTGCAACCATAAGGAAACTGTTGTTCTCTCAGAGGCTACGACTGACCTCCTGTAGGTTCACGGCTTCCTGCTGACTGAATTTAATCATCTAACACCAAAATGCAGTGTACCACAGTGTTGCATCACTTTGCTTAGTGGCCATATTAGAACTCTTGGTCGATAGACGCTGATCTGAACTGAGCACTAAGGACCAGACAGCTAAATCGGTTACGTTTTAGTGATCAACTCTTGTAGGCTTTATTTATTTTGAGTTATTTTTCTTGGAAATAACTGACAATTAGCATCTCTACAAGGTGTTTTCAATTTATATGATTTGAATTTTAAAGGAAGCAGAGTTTTCTATGAGGGTGTAAGTACTTCTTGTTAATGTTTTTGGAAGAAGCCACGAAGCTGGTATCCGGAAAGTTTTTTATACTTCGCATTAGATACCTTGACGCAAATTTCATTGAAGTACTGTGTAACTTTATTTTACCTACCAGATCGTTGACAAAATGACCACCACAGCAAAACAAAATATGTTACGAATGCCAGTTAATGACTGATTTGTGCATAATAAAGAACTACAGTGAATAAGTAAAATATATGGTTCTACATGTACGCTAAGATGAGGAGCGATGTTATGACTTATAACTATCTATTATTTATTTGACTTAAAGACTATCTATTTAGAGATTTTAGTCACAACCTCAGTAAATGTAGCATTAAGTATTTCAGTCAGGAATGTAAAGTAACGTAGCTAAAAAAGTTATTTCTGCTAATAATTGGATAAAAAAAGAGACTGAAATTCACCATTTTAAGCTGCTATTCTTTCATAGTGTATCGAATAAACTGACTTTTAGATAACTCTTATCATCTAAAGCTAATTCAACGGAATAGATAATTTGAATTAAAATTGGTTTTGTTTTAATCAGTTTAGTCACTATGACAATGAAAGGGGAATGTGAATGGAGTTCAATCTGGAATTTTGTGTTTTGTACAATTTATCACTTTTCTGTTATAATTCCACTTTATTATTTTATTCCAGTACCTAATGAGAAGTCTTAGAGAAATATAACATTAGTCGATGAAATGATTTATGACTGGGCTTAAAAGCTTTCGTTATTTCACGAAAAGTTTCAATAATTGTAACTGACTGGAGTTTTTTAAAATGCTTTTCTCTAATATTTTATGTTAATAAAAGGTGCATGTAAATTATGTACGATTAAATGTGATATGACATTTTGTAAGCTAGTCGGTTAAATTACTTAACCAGTCAGTATCCTTTGAGAAAATTTGAAATAAGACTCGATTTAGAAGACCCCTCAATCTTTAATATAACCAACCTTTATAATATTACTCGCAACAATCGTTGTGGTAGCTTGCAAGATTTTTAATCTTCATGAGTAGATTTTAACCAGATTTTACTTTAAAATAATTAGTTCCCTTTATAAACTTCGACAAAACAATAAGAAGACGTAAATTGTCTGAACCGTGTAATGTATTTGCGTGACACATTTTGAGCTATCTGATCACACACGTACTTGTCATAGGTATTTATATAAAAACTCATGAAGATAAGGGGTGAGAAAATAAAAAGGGGTCAGGTAGGAAGGCTGAATTAAAGGCCGAATAACAATGAAAATCAATTGGGCGAAAAATAATAGTACATCGAACTTGATTTTTTTCAATAGTTGAATTTACCAAGAAAGGTTTAATGTGACAACAAATTGTTTATGAACACATAAAGGTGGTTTCAACTTCCTAATAGCTAAGGCTTCAACAAATTTCAGGATCCCTCCCCAACTTGTTTTGTAAATAGGTGTAAAGGAAGTAGCCACATCAATCTTGTGACCTGTCTCAACGATATGTTTGGTTATCGAAGAACTTGGACGTCTGCTACCAACATTTATAGGTTCAGGTGATTTAAACAGCGTAATGAGAAGACGAAGATTATCTGAAACATGTGATGTATTAGCGCCAAACATTTCGAACAATCTGATCACACATGGACTTGTCGAACTATTTATATGAAAATTTACGAAAAGGTCAATGAAGTTAACGGGAAACATAGGAATAGGAAGGGATAGAAAAAAAAGGAAAACCTTATTCTTGGTATGAAAATTAAAATCAATACTACCAAGGTAGGTTCAACGTGAGTACAAATTGTTTTTGTATACATAAAGGGGGTTTAAATTTACGGATGGCAAGAGCTTCAGTAAATTTAAGCACTCGGCTCTGACCACTTTTATGTGGTACTTTAAAGGCTGTTTTCATGTCTATCCTATGGTTAGTTTCTAGTATGTGTTTAGCGATAGACGAAGATGGATGTTTGTCACCTGCACTTATCGGATCTGTTGAGGTCATTTGTTTTTGCAGCCGCTTAGGTACATGTTCAACCTTCTTTAATTGCATGTGTGATCAGATTGTTCGAAATGTATAGCGCTAATACATCATATGTTTCAGATAATCTTCGTCTTCTCATTACGCTGTTTAAATTTATCAGGTGATTTAATTTGCTTCTGAAGCCACTTTGGAATATGTTCCGAGGCCCTTACTTGCATGGATCTATTAGTCCTCCCTATGTATGTGTCACCACACGTACATTTGAATAGGTGGATACAATGGGATGTGAAATTACCGTTCACATGCTGTGGGGGTTCGGGGAATATAATGGCTTCGTGGTTTCGATTGCTCGAACCCTGGCAGATTTTACTTATTTAAATTTCCAAATTGATTCACTTTTTACGTCAAAATATTTATCGCAAAATTGTTACACATGTTACAGTTTAAGTATTGTAAAACACAACTGTTTGATTTGAGTTGTAAAGTATTTTACAGCAATAACTCATAGTTAGTAGCCAAACGGGATAGATCAAGACACTAAAGGAATCTAACCATTTCAACTCAAGCTACTGGATAATTCGAAGCATCTTAATTGCTTTCAGAACTTTCACTGTGGTTTGTTTTCACACCTTTACAAGACAACTATGTGAACTTATCAACAGCTAATTGATTTAAAAATAAATGACTGATGCCTGTTAATGTAGATGAAAGATGCTCACTATACAGATGGATATCATAGTCAAGTTCTCGACTAAACATTTTCACAGGATTACGCTTATGGCTTGGGGTATTTATCGATATCAAGGCAGGTGTCATTGTATAACATGGAGTGTGCTGTAAGATAGACAAAGAAAAACATATTTATCTGATTTCATCTTGAAGTAACGTCATCAATTTATGTGTACTTTTCAAAACAAGCATATTCGATTGACTAAGGACTTTTGAAATCATATGTGGTAGTTAAGCTAATCATGCTGAACAGTCAAACTGTTAACTCAGATAATATGTACATGTATAAGAGTCTCATAAGCTGTATATTGTGAAGTCACTCTCCCAGTCAATAAAAATCTGTAACTAAAGTTTGGACACACTCAATGTAATATATCTATATGCAACTTAGCGAATTACGTTTCCTCAACAGATATGAGCACTAATGAAAGACAACTGGTTCCTAGACCACCTTCTGTCTATGTAGTACTGACTTTTAAGTACAGGTTGAATATTCTCAGTAAAAGTTCTTTTCTTGATTGTGAAAGTGAAGACTTCAAATTTCTGAGATCTTATCTATTCGACACCAATGCTATGGAAGAAAGAAGTGAGAAATAATTATCAACCCCTCATCGAATCAATTAATGATCTGTTAATATAGTGTTTGAGATAAAAAATTCCATCCTTTAACAACGATTTTGTTGTGTTCTTATATTTGATTATCAAGGGAGTAATTACATACTAGGATGTAGGAGACAGGAGGAGAGAAAGAGGAAAGACTAGTTTTTATGACAGTAGCTGCTCCGGTAATGTTTAAAAGTTAAATGAACTAGAAGTCGCTGGTGATTGAATAATACGTAATAGCAGGAATCACAGACAAACACTTGAAGAATTATTCATCAAATATAAACACAATCAAATCTATGGGATTTTATTTGTATGCTTGTGTTTTGGTAATTCCTGTTTAAGCATGAGTGGAAGGATTAAAACATAATAATAATTCAAAAAGAAAAAGGAATAAAGATGGATAACTCAACCTGAAGAAGTTAAGACTGACACTCTTGTGCCTACAGCTTAATGTCAATTAAAGCCATTGCTTATGTCATCTGTTGAAAAAAGTACCCATATAACTTCAGAAAGTTCAGGGATTTTATCTTCTTATTATTTGTTCAATGTTAAAGCAGAGTAGAACCAAAAATATTTACTGGATTAAGGCGTAAAAGTGGTCACAGTTAGACAGGAACGCAGCTACGTGTATTCATGTTGCGACTGCATACTATTATGCTAATGAATGCATTTTTAATTTTAGCTCAAAATGTTGATAGGGCGTACCGCGAAAATTATTCTTCGTCAAATGTTAACACAAGTGTGCGCAGGTTGTTGGATTTTGATGTACAGATCGACTTTTGTCTAAGACATAAGGTTGGTTAGGTAAGGAAAATGTAGTTTAGTACAACGGTTCACTTCAGCAGCGAAATAAATAAATAAAATGGACCATGAGTATCTGAGAAACATGTCAGTCATTGTCTAATTACTTCTAGTTCCACTTACTGCCTATCTAAATGAGGATGGATGGCGGGGCAGATAGTTATGAACGAACAGGTACTTATTATTGATTCATCTAACATTTAAGCAATATTCTCATTGACTGAATTGAAGTTGAGATTGGGCCAACAGTTGAGCTAAGTAACACTTTAGATAAAGGTTCATTTTAGAAAATCAGAAGCTTCTGTTTCAAGTCCTAACAAACCTTAGCTTTCTTTGTACTAGGTTCATTTATATTTAAATCAGCGTGCCAAGTTAAGCCTGCCATAAATGGCCTGGTTAACAGATAAATAACTGTTTAACAACATTTATAATTCCTCAGTACAAATAACTTTAGGATAATGGAGAGTAACCATAGTTCAGATATATGATTTGAATGGTACTGGTTTCTCCGAGTTGGATGATCTATTTTTACCTTCTAGATAACATCAACGTAAACTCAGAAAGTGTGTCTAATCAAGGGCAGCATAACTAAAGGTAACAATCAATCTCATAAAAATTATCATGACCACTCAGAAAATAACCATTGAGGCTTGAGCTGAAGAATACGAATAAAAATCACCGAGATTTAATTAATCCATACACCTGCAAGAAACCATATCAATAAGTAAAACCTTCAAGGAGATAGCAAGTTGCTTTATGCTAAAAAGTTTAGTAGTGATATCTAACCATAAATTGCACTGAAACTTATTTTATGCTTAAAAAATGAACATATAAGCTTATTTCTATACGTTGTCAGTATTACTGCGTCTATTGTCCGGATCAATAAATTGCACACGGTACATGAAATAAAAGGTATTTTTCGTCACAAGCTTGCATTAGTCAGCAGTCTGATATGATATGCCAAATGTAGGTTAGTGATACATACTTTCGGTCACTTTACGAACAAGCAAGTGAGACTTAATTTTCGTATTTAGCTAAAAATAACCTTGTTTTGCAAAAATGAAATTAGATGAGAAATTTCGATTGATTGTAAACTTAAATACTTAATTTTTAATTCATTGTAATTGTGCTCGTGACAGTTTTTACAAACTACTTAATTACTTAATATGGAAGAGCCAATACTCTGTCATTTTTTCCTTAAGAACACTAAATGAAGTGCATATTACTTCCGGTGAAAAACATTGGTCCCTTTCTACCATGTGATGAAGATCTAGCTGCCAGACGAACACTACTGAAATGAGTTTAATTATATACAACAAAATGAGTAACATTCAAAATTCCATTTCATAGAAATAATTCCCTATTTTATCAAAACTCAACTACCTCAGTAGCTTATACGTAATCAGGAGCAGCTGTGTTGGATAGATTTAGATTTTTGAGATCAATCGACTTAACACAGAAATACTCAGCGTAAATTTATTCACAAATGGAACTTTTCAAACCTGTTGGAAATTACATTGGCCTTTGTATTTCCTCTGAAACCCTGAAGCTTTGTGCACATTTCGGTAGACTTCAAAACGTTTCCCGCAAACCCGATGATTTCTACAAACATGTATGCTAAAAGTAGTTTTTCCAACAAAACTTGTAACGATGACAATACAGACTGCTGGCAAACCATTTTACCGCACTAGCAAACATGCCGTTCAGCCAACTACTAAATTGCCCGGAACCTGAAATACTCTGTTTTCATAAATTTATCAGTGTTCACTACATGAACTGTATCTTATCTTCCACTTTAATTCACATAATCTCATTTTATTGTTTAAATATTCATTACTGAAGGCATTTCACATTAGGTTTCTTGCATTCTACGCATTTAAGCCCCCGACCAACCTCCTACATTGCTTCAAACATTATTAAACATTCTTTTCTTACCTTCTCAGAACGATTTAGCCTTTAGGCTCGCTAGTTTCAATTTATAACATGTAACAGCTGTTATTGCACTGCCATTTCATGGTTCATAATTTTTCCATCACAAAATCTGGACTGCATTTTCAGTCACTAGCATATTACTGATTCGCTTTTATTGTATCCCCTGAAATTCACAGAGAAAAACCATTGAGCAGGAATTCCACTTACTTTTCATTTAAATCTCCTTTCAGGACAACAATGATATCATCCTCCATTTGTACTTCTCTGTGGAAAGAATCCATCCAACCACTAAATGAAAGTGCTATGAAAGCATCGTGAAACAGCTCCATGTTTTGCGATGTAAACGTTGACTTTTTAAATAGAGACATTTACACAGACTGCATGGATACATTCAGTTTCTAGTCTGTGGAGATAACTAAAGTGCTTCCTAATAATATTTTCCTCGATTCCTTCAAAGAACATAAATGTCGCTTAATATATCGATGCTTTGTTGCACATTTTGTACACCCTTGTTGGTTTATTATTATATAATTTTCCCCTTGGGTTCCTAGTGGAACATAGGGTTTCAATAGCACACCTCCATTGCACTCTCTTTTCTGCATCACCACTGCCCACAAGATTTCATTTCTTCCTCGTGTTATCTCCTCCATGTGTCGTAGAAGTGTCTTTTGTATTTGCGCACACTCCTCTTCACTTTTTTCCTCAGTGAAGTGTTTTATACGTTGTACTCACTTCATCTTTTCGTTGTTCATCCCTGCGCCACACTCCTTCATCTTCTGCTTCATTATCACCATCTTCCTCTCCCTGCTCCATCACCTTCCATTTGTCAGTCGAGATCCATTCCCTGTCTCGTCTCGTCTCATCCCGTCCTGTATCCTCTCGTCTCGTCTCGTCTCTTCTTGCTTCTTCTTCCTTCCTTATACGGTTATGCAGGTTTATTTCCACATAGCTTTCAAAGAGTTCCAGTGTTCTTCCATGCAGGTTTCCTAGGCAACATTGCTCAATATCTCCCAAATTGTTCTCATGACTGACTGACGTGAAGATGTCCTCTGTAGTTTCGTCCTCCAGTTCAGTTTCTCTTCTGGATGTTGAACTTGAACTGTGGTCTATCATCACCAGCTTCTCTCAAGGCTTCCAACTCGATTTTCCAGGTAGGTTCCTTGCACTGGATAGTGTGTGGTGTAAACCCAAATATGCTCTCCTTCTTCATCTGATCTGATCTTGTGTCCAGTAGGCTGGCTGTGTCTCCATCTCCACTTTCTTCACATTGAGATGGAGTCGATCTGATTTCTAGTGTAGTGTGTCCATCTGGTGAATGATGAAGTCAAATCGATGTCGCTGCCTTGTGAATATCTTTGTGTTTGTGCACACTGCCTGACTCCAATCAGCAAATCATGGAGTGCACACAAATCTGCAAACAGTTCTCCATTCTCACTCATCATTTCATCGAGCGCCTCTTGACCCATGGTTGATTGTCTTCGTGTGTTGTCTGCTCCCAGTTTGGCTGACATTCATGTCATCCCACCAATTAGAATGAGTTTTGATGTGGCCAACTGGTGTGGTGTCTTGTCCAGTACTGATTGGAGTTGTCTGTCGAATTCCTCCTTCTTCTCTTCATCCGTATTACTTGTAGGTACATAGAGTAGTGTTGCGTTGTATGATTGTGACTTTGCTTCGTTTTGAGTTGAATCCATGTTGGTGTCACGATCCTGATGTTGCAGGAGGAGGATATTGGTTCTTCCTGCATGACAGAGAGCCTTCGATGTTCTTAGAGACATCATGATAGTCACTTGAAAACTTGGTGTGCTAGTGGTTGCCATGTTGGTTTTCTGAAGTTAAATTGCTCAAGCTTCCATTTGTTCATTTTTTTCCAGAAATGCACCAAGCTATGAAAATATTCTTCCTCAAGTGTAAGTTAGGTTTCTCATCATAAGTCTCTTAAGTGATGTGCAAATCTAATCCCGTAGCCGTCCAATGGAGACGTACATTTTTAACCATTTTCCCGGTAAAGAAAAGAACCGATCTGAATTTATTTTAAACAATCATTTATGTAAATTACTTAATTAAAGAACAAATGTTTTGTTATTACATATGAAAAGAAAACTGATGTTCAATCCATTGTCATCATCACTGACATCATCTGCTCTTGTTTTGAAAATGTTTTTAACTTGGAAATAAACAAACAAAGAAGCAAACTGAGGAACAAAACAAGACAGATAACAGGGAGAAACATAAATGATTTCAAATGAAACACCGAAATTGTGTTTATTTTAGCTCTCTCTCTCTCTCTCTCCATCACATTCGTCCCTACGGTGTTTCGTTTAAGTTTGTTTCTTAGGCTTTTTCAACTCCAAATAATGCTGATCATTTGTGAAGTAATAATGACTTGTGTTAAGCGTGTAACTGTTTTGAATTAACAAAGAAGAGGGAACAGGCGAATAAGATGAATTGTTGAAGTGATGAAAAGAGATGCCTAACAAAATGTGTACTTTCAGATATTTGTAGATTTGAGTATGAAGGATAATATCCGTCCTCAGGGGAGGTCAAATAAATTCATTTTCCATCCTTCACTTTTGAAACTATTAAATACCGATAGTGACGTATCTTACTATCGTGAATTTTCATACACTAAGCTTTGTATTTCAACTATGAGTAGCGACTGGCTTTGAAATTCGACAGATTACAGGAAAATTTTCTGAAAACAGTCAACTTTTGACTAGTCAGCGCAGCAGAAGAACCAATAAAAGAGTTGGTGCTTGTATATTCAATATTTGCGCTTCTACAATGACTGTAGTCTAGTTCCTATCTTACTCATGAGGTGTCATACTGAAGAAGTACAACTTACTGTCTGACATGCCTTTGTCGAAAATTCGTTTAGCAGCAATAACCGGTATCGAACGGACAAATAGTGTTGTTACTGTTTTAAATGGGAAAACTATAACGAATCAAACAACTATCCGGTTAGAAAGACAAGACAACAAGTAACTGCATTACTTCAGGCCCTAATTTTTCTTTTTTTTCGTTGTACATCATACTGATAATTCGCAGCTGCCCACTCATCATTATATTCCCAAACCGAAGCAGGGAAAGTCGGTGTAATGTTACACTTTCTATCTAATTTGAATAGACTAGTTTTAACTGGAATTTTACATCCAAACTAAGTATACGAGGTTGTTTACATAAGCAGTTAACTGGAACACACTGTCTTACGCTGTGAAACTATCTACTTTATCCAATATAGCATTTTAGACTGTCAAGTTATTTTCTTCCTTAAACTTCTGAATTTTGCTAATGTTCTTGAATGAAAAAACTTGCCTAAAGTTCCAACTACGTAATAGTATGAAGGGTACAAAATAAAGTGAATTCTGAGACATCTTGACACAATACTGATATCTTACTAAAGAGAAAAGTATCTAACGTTCAGATTAAAGAGACTATGACAGAAATATGCAG